TAGATGCAAAAAAGCCTTTTGACAAAATTGAGCACCACTTCATGATAAAAGCATTCAACCTAGGACTGAAGGAGTCTTTTCAGTTCGACATAGGCCAGGCATGTTGGTGCACGCTTGTAATCCCAGCACTCAGGAGGCTGAGGCAGGAGGATCACTGTGAGTTCAAGGCCAGCCTGGGCTATATAGTGTGAGTTCAGGGCCAGCTTGAACTATAAAGCAAGACCCTGTTTCAAAAAAACAGAAACAACAAAAAACAAAAACAAAAAAAACAGGCACATAGAACAATAAAATAGAAATAAAAGTCCAGAAATAGATCAATAAAATACAAATAAGAGTCCAGAAATAAAAATCTCCCATTATAGTCAATTGGTTTTTGACAAAGATACCAAGATAATCAAATAGAGAAAGAACAGTCTCTTCAACAAATAATGCTGGAACAACTGGAAATATATACACCAAAAAATGAAGTTGGAGTCCTGTTTTACCAATATATAAAAATAATTCAAAATGAACCAAAGACTTAAATATAAGAACTTAAACTGTGAACTCTTAAAAGAGTAACCATAAGTGTGAATCTTTGTGACCTTGATTGATCAATAGTTCCTAAGATATAGCACTAAAAACCAAAGCAACAATAGAATGAATTAAAAGTTTAATTCTGATCCATTTTTATAACCAGGTTTTCTCTTGAATCATTGTATCAGAGCAAGTTACAAAACTTTGGGAAAAAGGCAACTGGTAAATTGTCCAGTAACATCTCTTACGCATTTACCCTACTTGTATATATCCCAAATAAAATTTTTGATCTAAAACCTTCTTAATTTAAGTATGTTTAAAAGGAAATGAACTGAACCATTTCTATTTGTCTGTTTTATACAAAAGGCTACACAGTGTTACTTCAAAGCAAGCAAAGTCAGTACCATTACAGATTTTTTTTTGAATAAGCAATTTGATAAATTCCATCTTGTGGTCCATTCTTGTGAATTCATCACTTCTTTGAGTCACTGCCCAAATCCATTTGTATTGTTACTCCTAAACAACAACAAGAGCAGAAAAACTGGAATTTATCACAATTAACTTTTGTGTTTCAAAGGATACCATCAAGAAACCAAAGAGACAATCCATGGAATGGGAGAAAATATAGCATCTGATAAGGGATTTGTATCTAAAATATAAAAAGAACACAACTAAAGAATAAAAGGACAACCCAATTAAAATGGGCTAGGATTTGGAACAACATGGGTGAACCCACAGGACATTATGCTAAGTGAAATAAGCCAAATACATGGATGAGCTCACTTATATGTGGATCTAAAAAAGTAGAACTCATAGAAGTAGTAAAACAGTGATTGCTAGGGACACTGGAGTAAGGATTGGTCAGAAGGTGCAAACTTTTATTTATAATGAATAAGTTCTGGAACTCTGAGTTGCAGCATGATGACTATAGTCAATACAATGTATTCTTGAAATTTGCTTAAAGAGTAGATTTTAAGTGGTCTCACAAAAAAGTGATAATGTGAAATGATAGGCAGTTAATTATCTTGACTGGAGGAGTTACTTTACAATATATGTGTATCTCAAAACCTCATATTGTATACCTTTAGTGTACACAATCTTTGCAGTAAAAGGTGGTTGGTCAGTTGAAAGCCATGCCAGAAAAAAGAAGCTTGATTCCTACCGCACATCATAGACAGATCAGTTCCGAGTGGGTGTTAAGTCCAAATATAAAAGGAGAATGGAATGTTCATACAACATAATACTATCCAACAATGAAAATGAATGAAGTACTAGAGCTAGGCTGAATCTCAACAGTGTAGATGAATTTCATAAACATTATGTGGACCCAAATAGGCCAGAGTAACATACTATATATAGTTTCCATTTACATTAAGTCCAGAAGCAGGCAAAGGCACCTTTGCTGCCCAAAGTTGGGATAGCCCAGGTCCTGGGAGACAGGTGAGAGGAGCCCGGGGACCTGGACCCCGAAGTTCTAGCAGTGCTCTGTCTCTTGACTGGTGTGTTGTTTACTGGGGACAGTTCACTGCTCACCAAGCTGCACCCTGGTGATTTGTGTACTTTTCTCTATAGGTATTACTAAAAAGTGCTTACTCCTGAATTGACACAGAAAAAGATAGCTCTTGCTGATTAAATTTTAAAAATAAATTATGAAGGTTCTCTCTGAAATTTTTAGATAGACAACAGTTTTTAAGTGTGAAAGTCTCAGGTGTAAGATGTAGAGATATGGGACATTAACCAGTAGGAGGGCCGATGATATATTTGTAAAGTCAGAAATGTGTGTATCTTGCAGATGGGTGGTTCTGCTTCTGGACTCATCCTAAAGAAATTCAGGCATGTGTGTACAAGGAGATGTAGACAATGGTGTTCACTGAATAATAGCTAATAATAATAATAATATTGCAACCTAGATGCCCTAGAGGGGACTAGATAAATAAAATGTGGTATTTTTATATGGTGAAATATTAAATAGTTAAGAGGAACATGTGAACATATATAATCACAGAGTTCTAAACACACAGCAGTGGGCGATAAAGCAAGTTGCAGAATATGTTTAACATCACAGATGTGTGTGCATTTTTAAAGCATAAAGCAGTAATATGTCTTATCCCTTGGCACATATGCTACTGCAGTTTACAAGGGCAGAAGCAGCCCATGGAAGACTGGGTGGGGGGGGAACTAGGATTGAGGAGACAACTAAGGAGACTTCCACTTCATCTTTGCTGTCCAATTTCTTTTTTTAAAAAACTCAAATATGGCAAAATGTTAACATATTCATTCTGGGTGATGGCTAACAGGGCATTGGTTGTATCATTCTTTGTTATTTTCTCTTTGCTTAATGTCTTAAAATTTTAAAAAAAGTTAAGATGATAGTATGTTTCATCGTTTAGTCTTAGATTTATTTATTGTTTAGGTATTTTATGTTCTTATTTGTTTTAAGAAAAAAATGTATATAAATATAAGCGTGCCTGAGATAGCTGTTTCCTCTTGTGTGTATGTCCACCAATCATGCTTGTTTTATGTAACCATCTTTGGTATGGAAACATGACCTTCACACAGCTTGAGAGGGGCAAGACACGAGGGCTAACAGTTTGATCAGTGTGTATACAGAAAATCCACTTCCCACGACAGACATCCCTGCACACCTCCACCACTAGACGCATCTGTTTGTGTTGGAGCCAAAATACCCACAAACAGAAAAGCAAGAAGTCAAAAAGTTTTTCCTCTTCGGAACTGAGGATTTATTGGTGTGTGCTTATTAAGACTGAAGCTCTGAAACCACCACCGTTTACTGGCTCAGTCTCCATGTGTATCTACAGGATCGTTTCCAAAATGAGTGGGATCCCTGCCTTTCCACTGTCAACATCACTCCCTGCTTAGGAGGAGTGCTGGAGTCCTGCTTGGGGAGGAGAGTGCTCGCAAAACCTTGTTTTTTCTCTTTGAGATGGAATCTCATTGTGTTCCCCAGGCTGACCTTGAACTCTGAGCTCAAGCAGTCCTCCTGCCAGGTCCTCCCAGGCAGCCAGGACTGCAGGCACATGCCACTTTTCAGTCTGTACCCAGCAGGGACAAAAACCCCATGCACCATGCCTGTTAGTTACTAGGCTGGCAGCCTTTTGAAGTGCTCCCAAAATGATTGCTGTGACTATCTGAAAAGTTAACAGAGAAATGTGAGTTTAAAACAGACTGAATATTATCCAGCTAGATCTAAAGTTGAGGCTTTTAAATTTGTACACTCAGGAATGAGGTTGGGGAACCTCCACCTGTTTCCGCCTGGGTGCACCACAGGCTTCAGCTAGAGCTGCACTTTCTCCACACCTCTCCACTCCTCCATGCAGTGAGCCCAAAGGAGGAACTGAGTGTACTGGGCCCTAACCTGCTTTTGTGTTGAATTTCTGAGCCACATGTCTGCTGGCTACGTAGAAGCAGTCTGGTGTGCTGAGTGCGGTGGGGTTGTCTGGAAGGATCACAGATGGCAGCTAAATCTTTCTAAATGAAAGGTCATTTATTAGCAGAGCCTCTGCCACAGATCTGAAGCCAAGTTCACTCTGTTGGCTTTAGTAGTAACAAAAGCAGTATCTTTTTAGCTCCATCTGCATGGCCTCTCCTTCTTAATTGATTCAGAACTCAAAAGTGGGTAGATATTAGTAATTGGTCCCCTTAAAATCCCAATTAATTACTATAAGACCTCAAAATGATAAATTAATGTAACCCATGATAATACCAGCCATCTGTATACAAAATTTATTCTTACAGTTATTCTGACTACCTGAGTGAGCAGTTACTTACTTTTAGATTTCATACGTGATTTAAAAATAAATATATGTAGCCAGACACAGTGGTGCACACTTGTAATCCCAGCTAATTAGGAGGCTGATCCAGGAGGATCACAACTTAGCAAGACCCTGGCTAATAATCAAAAAAGGTCTGACATACCTCTCAGTGGTAGAGCACTTGTCCAGCATGTGTGTGAGGCCCTGGGTTCAATCCCCACTGCTGCGAATGAATGGATGTGTGAATGAATGAATGAGGCATGGTTGAACTCTCCTAGATTGAGATAGACTCCATTAAATGTGTATTTTATAATTTATTATAAGCATACACAAAAATGTAACTTATACATTTAAGAGGGAAAAAAAAAAGCCAATACCAAATACCAAAAAACAACTCACGTTGCTTTAACAGAACACTGTTCTGCACATGGCCAACTGCACATTGGCAAAGCGTAGTGATTTTAAGGATGAATTAGTATTCTAATCTCTTTGGGATTTCCTTTATATTTGCAGTAGTTTATGACTGACATTTAATGTAACTAAAGCTTTCTGTTTATATTTAATAAAAGATTCGTTTCTGTGGCAAGACACACATTTGCACTCCAGTGTTGAATAAGAGCTACTATTCTGCATGAAGGACATAAAAATGCTGATTTATAAGTCCATGTTCCAATACCAGCAATCTAACTCTTCCAAACTATTTCTTCCCAGGTCCTGGGAACAGCACGACTCCAGCAAAAGATGATTCTTTTCCAGAATATTCAACTTTTAACACCTCTGTCCATGCTGCAATCAGACACGGAAATTGGAAACTCCTCACGGGCTTCCCAGGTAGAGTGCTTAGCTTAACCAGTGTCCCTTCCTGCAGTGGACTGGGTCTCACTGCATGCTCTGGGCATTATCTCCAGGCTACCCATGCTCTTGGTGTTTTATTCCTGTGGACATTTTTCTGGAAACATCATCACTCATGTTCTAATCACTGCTTATCTCCTCAAGACTCCTGAGCCCACCACTCCCCTCACTTTGTTCAGCCGCCTGAAATGTTACATGTCCTTTAAATCTTTCATGATACTTCTTGATGTGTATAATAAGGAGGTATTTATTCAGGAGTTGCTAGTCCTACTTTTAAGACTCAGCTGGGCCAGGTATTTAGCTCAGTGGTTCCGCTGCCTGCCTTGCAAGCGCAAGGACCCAAGTTCAATCCCCGGTACCAAACAAAAAACAAAAAAAACCCTCAGCATGTTCCCAAATCCACAGCTTCCATTGTTGTTATGCCTCCAGATGAGAAGGAATGGTTTCATCTACTGATCCTGACCAAAAAAAAAGGAAGCAAACAAACCAAAATTGAGAATTAGCTGTAGTGGGTGTGAAAGGAATAAATACCATTGGAATGCTTTGTGGATAATATGGGTTTTAGGTCTGTGTGGCTGTCAAACAGCACACCCCATCAGCAGTGAATCCCTGAGAGCTACACCCTCAACCAGTGGTGTAGCTAGGGAACAAGGCTGCTTCCTTGATGCTGTTCTCTAACATGACATCTTTTCAATCCTTTGTAAATACGTGGTAAGATGGTTAAGGCTGTGATGAAATTATGCAGTGCTTATAATAGGGCTAGGTCTGGGGATATAGCTTGGACAGGGGGTAGCTCAGTGCTCCAGGCCCTGGATTCCATCCTTAAGACAGAAAAAAAACACCAGACATTTATAATGATAATATTCTTGGCATTTTGGGCATTTTCAACAAGGTGATTCTTCGTCATTTGGACTGGCCCACGCATTGCAAGACATTTTAGCATCCCTGATCCATGCCCTCTAAATAGAGTAGCACTCTAATCCCCCATTCATTGTGACAACTAAACGTCCCCTTACACACACACATACACACGTTTCTGGATGTCCCTGGTTGTAAAGCAGCAAAATATGTCTCCTGGAAGCCCTGAAGCCAGATTCTGAGACCAATCTAGAGACAGCGCTAAGGGCCACATTTTGTGTACATGCCCACACCCGAAAGCCATGAAGCCCAGTCCCCAGACTTTTGCTGAAATTAGACCCTGCCCATGATGCTTCTCCCCCAGTAAACGGTCTCATTTCTTCATCAGGCTGTGGATCCTGGTTCCCTCCACCATCTCAATACCGTGTTTCTGAGGTACGCTCATCGGACTCCCCAACCAAAACCCTGTGGCTCTTTGATATTGACCAGGACCCAGAAGAAAGACACGACCTGTCCAGAGAGTACCCCCACATCGTCAGGCAGCTCCTCACCCGTCTGCAGTTCTATCAAAAACATTCAGTACCTGTGCACTATCCAGAGCAGGACCCACACTGTGACCCCAAGGGCACTGGTGCCTGGGGCCCCTGGATGTAGGATTTTGGAGACGTGGGAATGTCTTTCTGTTGCATGCTACACCTCGGGCCTTGACTGCTGCAGCCTCTTGTCCCAGTTGTTCTCTGCCTGCCCCACCCCCACCTCACCTGGCCCTTCTCTTGCTCCTAAACTACACCAGTCTACTTTCAATTCCTGGTGCATCTCAGAAGGTAACCACACTGAGCACTCCTGCTGCTGGCCTAGGCTGTGTCTGGAGGCGGTTGGCTGGCTCATCCCCTCTTCCCAGCTGTGGGACAGCTGGAGACTTGACTTGGAAGTGATCCTTGAGTCCTGGGGGCCAGAGCAGCTGGCTCTTTTTGCCTCACAAGTCAGACGTTAGGTTTCCCTCTGCCAGTAACGGGTTTTATTGGAGTGACTCACATTTCTTGTAACAAACGAAGGAAGCAGGCAGACGGTTGTTGGGTTCTGCTGGCCTGGGGCTCCCGTTCTCTGGGCAGTGATGACCCCTCTGCTCATCCCTCACCCACACATCTCATCAGGGAGCAGAAGGCCCATTTCTTGAAGGCCAGCATGGCAATATGCCAACATCTTAGTTTTGGTTTTTACAATAAAGAAATGTGTTTTTATCCTAGATTCTTTCCCCAGCCATTGCTCATTCTGTCTAGACTTCCTACTACCCCCAACTCCCCTGTGGCTCTTGTCTTGCCATTCCTCTTGACTCCAATGTCCGTTGCCTGAGAAGACTGCGTCACCTCTCTTCTGTGAGCAGCTGGACTGAGGGAGATACTGAGCTCTGACTTCTCTTGGCCCCTAATGCTGAAGCCACAGCCCAGCCCAGAGAATGTGGCCAGGTTACTCTATGATCCTGCCCCGGGGGATGCCAGGAGGACTGGGCGGGGGCACATGGGTCTGTGGTATCTGTCCAGCAAGGTTTTTCCTAAGTTACATGGAAGCTCATCATCATGATTGTGCCTTTCTCTCCTAACTCAGTACCAGCTACACTTCTTTTTTTTTTTTCTTTTTCTTTTTTTTTGGTACGGGGATCGAACTCTGGTCCGTGTGCTTGCAAGGCAGGCGGTGGAACCACTGAGCTAAATCCCCGGCCCAACAAGCTACACTTCTGTTCCAGGCATTGAAGAGAAACCCCAGGAAAGGGTCATTTTTTTCCTGATATGGAGGTGGGCACTGGGCCTCGGTACAGTAGAGAGGAGCTACCTCCCTGTCTCTAATTCTCTGTCTGCTTGTATTAGGGACCTGTGGTAGGGAAAAGCTGATATACAGTTTGACCTGCAGCCCTTTCTCAGGCCCACCAACATCCTGCTAAGGTGGGGCGTCCAGTTTAGCTACAGTGTGTCATACTCAGAGAACAGGGGCAAGAACTGTACTCGCTTCATTAGCTCTGCTGCTTAGTTCATTGCTTATCTTCAGCACCTAAGACAACGCATGATTTAAAATGAATGAACAAACGAGAAAAGGAGAAAGCCTCACACCACAAGAGATGCTGGTCCGGTGCACTGAACACAGGGCTGTCATCAGTGTCTTCCAAAATACTGCTGTCCTATTTGCTGTTGCATAGCTGGGCAGTCGTAGGACATGCAGAACCCAGGCTGTGGTGTCCTCTCCAGGGGACAGAAGGGAACTAGCCCTGCCAAGATACTCTCTTGCCAGTGATCTTCATTTCCATTCTTCATAGGACACTAGATACAAAACCCACGAAATAATGTTATTCAGGTTGATCATATAGCCATCTTTCAATTCAGTAGTGGTATTTCCTGGTCACAATTGCCTGGTATTATATTGAAACAAGACTATTGGAAGGATATGGTGCTAGAACTAGTGACATCTATTTCCAACTAATGACATCTGTTTCCAGCCTTAGCCCAACTTCTGGGTTGGCAAACAGCTGGGCAAATGTCATCTCTCACTCCAAAGCCTAGGGCAGATAGTAGGGACAAACTGAGCCTGGCTGTCCTCTATTTTCTTTCCATTAGTGTTCCCATTATTAGTGTTCTAAGATTGGAGGCCACCACTACAGGACACCTGTTTGCTCTCCCTGCTGTGCCCTCGACAGCTGTCCCCAATTCCTTGGTTGTCCTTGATTACTGTGTACACTGGGAATGTTCCACATTCAGTGGATTTAAAGAGTTCCAAATGGTAATTTTATTTTTAAAAATTGAGATTTTATTTTATTGATAATAGACTAGTTTATCTCTGTTACTGTGATTGTTCCAGATTTGAGACAGAATTAATATTTTCAAAATTATGTCAGCCATGGATATTGTGAATGCACTTAATGTCATTGAACTGTACATTTAAAAATGGTAAAATTGGGGATTTATCACAATTTTTAAATTTGCCAATTTTATGGTATGTGACATATCTGATAAATCTGTTAAAATATAGCAATGATATCCACTAAAATGTATCTATAATGCATATAAAATAGTGTTTGGTAGGAGTAAAAACAAAATGCTAGTAAGAGAATGTATTTGTTTTCTTTTGCTGTGTAATAAGTTACCACCAAATCTAGCAGCTTAAAACAACATTTATTATTTCACCTCTGTGACCCTCCCTGAGGGCCAGGATTGTGGGAGTGCTTGGGCTGGGTGGTTCTGCCTCAGGGTCTCATGAGACTGGTCAAGCAGTGGACCAGCGAGGTGGTCACCTGAAAATGAGTGAGGTTCACAGGCCTACTTCTGAGATGATACATTTACAAGGCTGTGGTTACGATGGATTCCTTGCCAGGAGGGCATCAGCATGAGCTGCTTGAGGTCCTCACACAGGGCAGGTAACTCCACCAGAGCTGTGATCTATAGAAAGAGCGAGTAGGGTGCTATGGTGTCTTTTGTGACCCAGGCTCCAAAGTCACACACTGCCACTTCCACCTTTTTTCCACTGATAAACAGTTCTCTAAGTCTACCCCATAGTTAAATGGGGAGGAGAACCCCATATTTTGAAGGGACTGTTAGATTTATGGCATAATTCTATACAGTGGGCACAATTAGCCTCCGGTGGAGTAATTGCCCAATCAAGTCACCTGCATCTATCACATGCTGCTACTTGAAGAAAGATGGTAGAAACAGGATCCAACTTTTCTATTTAGAGGTAGAATGACCGTGGGCAAACCCCTTAGCCCTCTCTGTTCCTCAGGTTTTCCCCTGATAAAGTGATGGTTTGAATTAGATAATCCTTGAAGTCTAGGGCCGAGGATTTAGCTCAGTGGTTCCACTGCCTGCCTTGCAAGCTCAAGGTCCTGAGTTCGATCCCCGGTACCAAAAAAAAAGTCTATGTAATCCTTAAAGTCTTGCTTTCCATAATAATGCCTGGCACACAGTAGATGTTCTGTAAATGTTGGTCAGTTGACTCTGAAATAATAACACTGTGCTAAAAATTTGCCTGAGGTTATGCTCAATTTTGAAAACAATTTTTTTTTTTTGTACCAGGGATTGAACTCAGGACCTTGTGCTTGTGCAGCAGGCACCATAACCACTGAGCTAAATCCCTGGCCCTCAATTTTTAAAACAATTTAATTTAAAAAGTATTACACTATGTTTTGCATCTTCAGTGACCCCAAAGGCCCACATACTAAAGATTTGGTGTGTTGGAACCTCTAGCAGGCGGGACCTCGGTGAAGGAAGTAGGTCATTAAAAGTGTGCCCAAGACCTTCTGTGTCCTCCCTCTGCTTCCTCCTGCCATGAGATGCAGTCTTCCTCCACCGTGTACCCACCATGATGAACTGCCATGCTGCACCTGGAAGCAACTGTCCAGCCCCCAAACCGTGCTCCAAAAGAAACTTTCCTTGTGTGTTCATTACAGTAACAGAAAGCTAACATTGTTTTAAAGCTGGTAAATTTTTTTTTTGAGTGTTTGTTATATGCTAGACATTGTACTCGGTACTTGAAAAGGATGGTCTCTTTAAATATAATTTAGAAATAATCAGGTAATATTTGTAAAACCCATTCAAATTTAATTATGTAACTGTAAATCACTATAATTTATTAATATAAATTCCATCCCTTTCAATGTCCAGTCTTTGTCCAAGGATAAAGTTATTTAAGTCAGAAAAATAAAAGAATTATTTTATGTCATTTTACGAGGTATGTTAGAGAACTCATGTCTATCAAAAGACAAATGGATAAACAAAATAAGATATATACATAGTGGGATATTATTCAGTCATTAAAAGGAATAGAGTTCTAATATATTCTCCAATATGGATTAACTTTGAAAACATTGGGTTAAGTGAAAGAAGCCAGACACAAGAGGATAAATATTGTATCGTATCACTACTTTATATTCCCACCAACAGGGTAGAAGTGTTCTTTTTTCCCCACTAGCCTTGCCATTATTTGTTATTGTTATATTTCTTGATGATAGCCATTCTTTCTGCAGTAAGACAAAATCTCAGTGTTGTTTCAATTCTTTAATGGCCAGAGATGTTGAACATACTTTCAAGTGTTTATTAACCATTTGTACTTCTTCTAAAAAATATCTATTCATTTCAATTGCCCATTTGTTGATTGGGTCTTCTATTTTTTGGGGGGGTCAAATTCTTTTGAGGTTTTTATATATTCTACATATTAGACCTGTCTGTGGATTAGCTGGCAAATTTTTTTCCCATTCTATAGGTTGCTTCTTCACTCCATTGGTTGTTTCCTTTGCTGTGCAGAAGCTTTTTAATTTGATTTTGTATCTTACTGTGCTACAGAACTTGGTTATTCTGGGAGTCTTTTGGTGAAATTTTTTGGGACTTCTATGTAGAGGATCATGGCATTGGCAAACAGTGATAATTTGACTTTTTCCTTTCTTACACACATCCCTTTTATTTCTCTTGTCTGATTTCTGTGGCTAATGTTTTGAATACTATACTGAGTAGGACTGGTGATAATGAATGTCCTTGTCTTGTTCCTGATTTTAGAGGGAAACATTTCAGGTTTTTACCCATATAATATGATGTTGACAGTAGATTTGTCATAAATGACTTTTATCAGATCGAGATAGTCTTTCTACACCTATTTTCTTCAGGGTTTTTTATACTGAATGGATGTTGGATTTTGTCAACGGCTTTTTCTGCATCTATTAAAATGATCATATGATTTTTATCCTTATTTCTGTTTATGTGATGTATTACATTTATTGATTAGCATATGTTGAACTATCCTTGCATCCTTGGCCATGATGTATAATCTTTTTGATGACTTGTTGCATTCTATTTGCCAGTATCTTGTTGAGGATTTTTGCATTATGTTCATTAAAGAGATTGGCTTGTAATTCTCTTTTTTTGGTAGGATCTTTGTCTTGTTTTGGAATCAGGATTATGCTTGCTTCCAGGAATGACTTTGGGAGTACTCCTTCCTTTTTCAATTTCATTAAAAAGTGTAAGGAGCAATGGCATTAGATCATCCCTGAAGTTTTTGTAGAATTCAGCAGTAAATCCAGTGGGACCTGGGCTTTTCTTAGTTGGTAGGTTTTTTTATTACTGCTTTTATTTCATTGTATGTTACTGGATTATTCAGGGTTTTTATATCTTCTTGGTTCAGTTTTGATAATTCATATGTATCTAGAAATCTTTTCATTTCTCAATTCTCCAATTTATTGGCATACAGATTTTTGAAGTAGTTGCTAATTATTGAATTTTGGCAGTGTCTGTTGTTATTTCAGCTTTTTAATTTCTCATTGCATTGATTTGGGTAATTTTTGGCAAGATTGGCTAAGGGTTTGTATTCTTTCAACTAGGTCTTCAATTCATTGATTCTTTGTATTACTTTTTTTAGTCTTAATTTCTTTATAATTATTAACCTTCCTTCTGCTAGCTTTTAATTTATTTTAAAAAAATAAAATTTGAAAAATTAATCAATGGAAGATGAATAGGAGGAGAAAAGTAAGCTAGAGGATCTGAGGAATAAAAGGAAATTAATAGTGTTAGATAAAAGTAACAAAAGAATAAACAAGAAAAAGAAGAAAGAAAAAACAGCAATCAAATAAAAGATAAAAGAAAAAAGTTTAAAGGAGAAAAGAGAGAAAACCCAAACCCAAAAAAACAATAAAGAAAAAAACTGAGTCAAAAAAATTCCTCTTTTTGAATAAGTAACCAGTTTCTTTCTAGGATCTGCAATCTTGGGATCCAGCAAGTCATGGTTTTCTCCACTTAGCTTCACTGCCTGTGGGCTTGTGAGGTGTCCCCCTGCTCCAGAGTTCTCTTTCTCATGCACACCAAAAAATGGCAACCATTCACACTAAGTACACTAAGGTCCTTGCTCATATTGGTAGGTGGAGAGAGTGATCAGTCCACTAGTCTCTGCTGGATGTAGGCAATGGGGTGGGGGTTCAAGCAAACTGCTAAACTTAATATCAATACTTTCAGATCCAGCCACCTCTAAACCACACTCACCAGGCCTGGGTTTTTTGTTTTGTTTTAGTTTTTGTTTTTGTTTTTTTTGTTTTTTTGTTTTTTGTTTTTTGTTTTACCATTGAGGGCAGAGCCCATGTCCTTCCTGGCCTGAGCTTCAGCTTCTCTGGTGGTCTGTGTCTAGCCTGCACCTTCTGTGTGCCTGTCTCTCACCCAGTCACTGTGGGAAGGTAACACTGGAAACCCTGAAGTAGAGTTGGCTCAATCTTAATCAATACCTTTGCAGAATAATGTCTGATTAAACACTCTCATATGGAGGGGTGCTGTACAGGGTTTCTTCTCCTTCTCTAGCCTGGCATGAAGGAGTCACTTTTGGAGTAAAACCTCATGCTGTTTTTTGTAGTTTAATAGCTGTGGGCTTTTCTTTGGGCTAGCACTGCTGGCCAGGTCCATAATTTCTCCCTGGATCTACTGACCTTCAGGGCTTACCTTCTTTCCCTACACACTGGCTTCATCCACAGTCAGGTTGGTCAGTTGGAGACTGATGCCCCATGCCATGGGGAAACAAAATACGGAGCCAGCTCATAGTTGTGATCATAGCCACGGTTCAGAATCCATGGGCACAGAGTTGGTCAAAGGCCAATACATGGATCCATCCAGTCCAGCAGAGCATAGATCTGTCTAATGGTTTATATCTTATACCTAATTAAAAGTACTCTTAAAAAAACACATGCTCTTAGAGCAATGTATTACATAATTATCTTTTTTTTTTATAACCAAAATGAGCTTGGAAACACAAACATTTATAAATAAAACATTTTCGATGCCATAGGGAAATTCACTATTTGAAGGGTTATTTTTGAAGATCCCTTGTTAAACACAAATTTTGGCTTTATATTTGCAAAGCCTAAATACATTGATTTAAGTTTCCTAAATTGAGATTTTGCTGCCCAGATTTTCCTGAAGAGTTCACACCCATGCATGAGGGGCTAGAAAAGGAGATACAGAACCAAGAAAATGATAGGGGTATATCTGAAGGTGTGGCCCAGTCCCTAACAAGTTTACAATCTGATGCAGTGCTCAATGTCCTTTCCAGCTTAACTGACTGAAGAACATTCCAGCTGATCTAATAGCTCAGTACACGGAGATATCCTTCACAGTAACCACTTGAACTTTGTTACATTTTAAATACTAAATGTCCTCCAAAAGTCTCCTGTGTTCAGATGGAGGACCTTCAGAGAATGTCTGAATCATGACTTTAATTTCATCAGATTAACCCACCGATGAATGAATAATTTGGTGACTTTATTGAAAGGGGATGGAAACAGGAGGTGGGGCCTAAATGAAGGGAGTGGGTCATAGTGTGTGCCCATGGAAACCCTATCTGGTCCCTGGTCTCTTTTTCTCTGGCTCTTTCTCTCTTTCTCTGTTTCCTGGTTGCCAGGAAATGATTCATTTCCTGCCACACTCGTTTCTGCCAGGATGCTTCTGTTGTGCCACAAGCATAAAAACAATGGAGCCGGCCAACCATGGACTGAAACCATGAGCCAAAATAAAACTTTCTCCCTCTAAGTTATTTTTCTCAGGTATTTGGTCACAGCAACAAAAATCCAACACAAACTTTAAAATCTATTTTTCGTCCATAGTCTATGTAGATTGGTTCATTTTCAGGCTATTCAAAAAATGACTGCTACCCTGGCCATTACTGCCCTTATGGTCACTGACAGAAGGTAGAAACAGAACACCTTATCTCTTCCATCTTCACCCTATTGGTAGGGGAGCCACCCACCAGACCAGCAGAAAGCACCTACCAACTCCTCCCTGGATCTGACTTCAGGGATTTGTGACTATCAAACTAGAGAGACATTGCATTCTCAAACTAATTCACCAAAGGAGCCACTCACTGAGCCCCAGATATTTCATTTAAGAACTTTTATTACTTTTCTGATAACAGAGTTAAGGCAGTATCACAGTAACAATTTTTAAATATACAGAAAACACAACAGAAAATTAATCCATAAACCACCACCCAGATATAACCCCTGTTAACCTTCTCGGATGCCTCTGTCTCACTGTGCCCAGCTGAGCCCTCATTAGAGACTCAAGATGGTAGATAGATAAAATGTAGTCTCTTCAGGAAGTCTTCATGTAATCTCATTAATAAAGTGCAGAGGTTCCCAGAACATTTAATCCAAAGGGCTGTGGTTTCACATTTGCACCTACTCTCTGGCAGCTCCCTCCCCAGCCTCAGGAAGGGGCAGGACATGGTCACTGTGCTATCAGTCAGGCCAGTGAGCCAGGCTTGTCCTCTAC